GCCACCAGGGAAGTCTGCCATGGCTCTCTCCAGAGAGAACTGTTTTGCATAAAGGGACTTGAAATACTGAATTCTGTGTCTTGACTGGCAGGAGCAAGTAACAGATACAAATCTGACTTGCAATAATAAAAGGGAAAATACACTAAGTAAGTGTTAAGAAGACAATATTTTTAGCTTGCAACATAGAAAGAGATGGGCTAAGAGATTATAAAGAGCAATAAAAGAAGGCATAAAGAGGGATGTGTTTCTTGACATAAGTAACAACTAAACAAACAATTTTGATTGGGATTGTATTGAAGGTATAGATTGCTTTGGGTAGTAATGACATTTTAACAATATTTATTCTTCTGACCCATGAGCATGGAATGTTTTTCCATTTCTTTGTGTCTTCTTCAATTTCCTTCATAAGTTTTCTATAGTTTTCATCATACAGATCTCCTATATTTTTGGTTAGGTTTATTCCTAGGTATTTTATGGTTTTTTGTGCAATTGTGAATGGGATCAATTTCTTGATTTCTCTTTCTGTTGCTTCATTGTTGGCATATAAAAATGCAACCTTTTCTGTATGTTGATTTTGTATCCAGCAACTTTGCTGAATTCCTGGACCAGATCTAGTAGGCTTTTGGTGGAGTCTGTCAGGTTTTCTATGTAGAATATCATGTCATCTGTGAAAAGTGAAAGTTTGACTTCTTTTTTTAACCGATTCTGATGCCTTTTATTTCCTTTTGTTTCCTGATTACTGATGCTAGGACTTCCAGGACTATGTTAAACAAAACCCCAAATCAGCAACCAAATTACAAATGATCCTCTAGGACACATTCTGTGCCCCCTAGAAGGAGGGGTCCACAGTGGCAGCTCCCACTGGGTCTGTCATCACTATCATCCTGATGGCCTCTGAGGGCACTACATCCTCTGTGCCGCTCTGATCCATGAACAGATGTGGATTCTTCCCAAAGTCCTCAGCGCCCACACAGGCCCAAGCTCAGGCCTGTGTGTAACTGCTTGGCAGTAGGGAAACAGACACCAAGAGGACTGCAAAAGTCTGGCATGAGAGGCCAGGCACAAGCCAGTCTTTAGTGTGTAGGCTACTGCAGGTGCACCTTTTTCCCTGCTTCCTAACAGAATCTTCTACCTCCATGAGTAAGAGCTACTCTAGGGATACATGAGTTCTCAAAGCTCAGGATAAAACACAGAGATTTCATTCTCCCTTCCACTCACACAGGTCTAGGTGGTCCTTGGAGGACTATCTTCTTCTCTGTGCAGCTGAGAATGGGAGTGGAATTCCCTTGGGTAAAGCTCCACCTACCCATGTAGAATGAGCTGACCCCTACCACCTACTCAGAATCTCAGAATACAATCTCAAATCCAGCAGAGCGGACAAAACTCACATTGTTTCTGGGAAGACAAGATGCAGCCATAGAAAAAACATGAAGCATGGAAAACCATAGCCTGAGCAGACAATGTCTTGGCCAAAGTCTATAAGGCAGGTGGCAGCAGAGCCAGGGTCCATGATGTCCTTGGGCACAGCTGGGTAGGGCCAGCAGCATGCTGGGAAAGCTGCAGTCCCACCCTCTGGAAGGGGCTGTGATGGAAAACTGGGGCCATGCCCTGGGGCACCACAGGAGTCTGGGAGCAGTCCCTCATTGGCCTGGGAAGGAAGGGAAGGCTCTGTGAGCAGGGTCCCTTAGTCCTTCAGGACAGTGCCTGGGAGAAGCTGATGGTGCTGACTAGGAGTGCTCCAGGGAAACAAGGGGCTCCTGACCATGACGGATTGCTTTCACTGTGCCGCAATCCACTTCTGCCTGGAGGGAAATGACTAAGAACAGGTACAAGAGTTTGAACTGCCAAACTGTGTTTGCTTGGTGACTCTTGTTGTTTGTGGGAAATCAGCTCAGGGAAGAGCCTCTGTTCTCCCAGGCAATTACCCCTGGCACATACCTGCAGACCCCTCACTCACGGCTGGGTCTGAGGGACTTTGAATCATTGCAGCTCCTGACTCTGGCTTTCAAAATCTTGACTGCCATCCATACCCTACCCCGGACCTCTCCAATTTTGCTTCCATCCTCTCCACAGTCCCAACCACATATGCAAGCCAGACAGGCATCCTTACATTATTCACTGGTACCCTGAATGGCCTCCCCTCTCTGTGCTCCTCTCTCATTCTATTCAGAGTGGACTTCACCCCACACCCACTTCACCCCACCTCCACCCCACACCCACTTCAAGAAGAGCCAGCCCTTTTCCCTAGGGACTTGACAACCCCTCAAGTGAGGGGCAGCCTGCTTTCTCTGTGTCTAAAAATGAAAACCCATAAAATATGGCTTACTCTAGTTTGCTCTGCAAAGCTGGGAGAAGGGACTGGACTGGTCCCACCACTAGGGACCGGGGGTGGTAGGTATGCTCTTCACTGGAGAAAGGGCTACTTCCAGCTATGTGGCTGCAGCCCTGACTTGCTGTAGAGGAGAGGATCAGCTCCAAGATGGGTCAGCTGGGGATGAGGGCTGCCCAAGTGGAGGAATATAGTGGACCAGTCTTCTGGAAGGAGAGAAGATTGCTCTCCAGGTCTGGGGGCTGAGACATGAGTCGCCAGAAAGCAGTTGGACCACTGCTACACACATCGGGGAAGCAGGATAGCCTGCCTATGATCTGAGGGCCTGCTGGGATGATGGCTGGGGAGAGAGACCTAGTGGCTTCTACTAGGGGTAAGCCGGAGGGAGGAGATGACATGATGCAGAATCCAGTATCAGCTTCTGCCACCAAAGGCTGGCTAACATAGGCAGAGAAGCCACCATAAAGTAGTTGATTCTGATATTACACATGCTTAAACAGCTTTGCCTGACCCAGTGAATAGATGCAGGGAGTTGCTGCATTCCTTTTTCCTTTATCCCACTGTGCACTATCCATTCATCCATGCAGCACTTGCCAACCACCTGCACTGTGCCTGGCCTGGTGCTGAGCACCAGAGACAAAGCAAATGGACCTTTGGCTTCCCGGAGCTCAATGTCTGGCTACAAAGAGTGCTGTGCTCCAATGGGTTAGGCACCCCACCCATTCCGCACACATAGAATTCAACATTATTAACATGATTTGCTTTGCTTTGCATACATTTAACACTGAAGCAAGCACAAACTCTTTTAGGAAACTGCACTTATATATAGGTACAAAAATGTAATCCCAAATCTGTAGGTGTCTCATTTATCAAAGACACAAAACATTGGGATCTTTTTCCAGATACAGCTTTGTGTTTTACTCTCCCCACTGAAATTCCCATTATGAGCATGTTCCCTGCTTAGAAAGCTTTTTATATTCTTTCCAGGCTTTCTTTTCAAAAGCCAGACTTTTACTGGGTTCGTCCTTATAAGTTAAAATAAAATAAGCTGAGTTCTTCTTTACTCAAATAGCTTTTCATTCATTCATTCTCTCGATGGCTATTTCTTGAGCACCTATCACTGGGGTCAGGGAGGTGCTAAGTCTGAGAAATTCAGTGAACAAGAGAGACAGAATCCTGCCCTCAGGTCCCTTAGGGTTTAGTGAATTACGCCAACCAGAGCCCAGGCTCCCTGAGGTTGGTGACACATAGTTTCCCACTCTGGCTTGTTCCTTTTTCTCTGTCTCTTGCTTGATCCAAAATAGGCAACACAAAGATGGCTCTACTTTGTTCTTTCTGTCGCATCCGTCTTACCCATGACTCCTCTACTGGGCATTTCATCTTCTCTACTTTGTTCAAAGGCAAACAACTCAGGCTCTCTCCAGAGGTGGGTTTAATTACCGCCTCCCATTTGCCTAGTTGAAACAGTAAAGGAGATAAAGTTGTACAGGGGAGGAGCCCTTTGAGAGCTGGCCTTCTGAGGAGAGTGACCCCAGGTAGGTCCTCAGGGGTCTATGCTGTGTACTGTGAGAATGAATGCTTGACTAATAGGCAGCCATTCAAAGTCTGACCAGAGACCTATATAGTATTCTGGAATCAGCCTGTCTGATAGAAGTACGGATGATTAACATAGCTAATGACACCTTCTCTAGAGGAATTTAAGAATGAAATATACAGAGAGGTAGAGAAAGAGGGAGAGAAGCAGGTAGAATATAACAGGGGCTGTGAAGCTTAAAGACACATTAAGAGAAGAGAGTAGACAAAGCCATGAAGCAGGACTCCAAGAAGCACCCAAAGTTATGAGTGAGTGGTAGCCTGTAGCAGCAACAGCACAGGAAGCAGAAACAGAAGCAGCTGAGGAAACAAAATGGTGGCCCAGAGATACAGCCAGCATCCCTGTCCAGCCACTGAAATATTAGTGCTACCGCTAGAGGTACAGTTATTCCATCGGCCATCCAATTCTCTGCGAGATCTGTCTATACACATGGCTTTGTGTTCTTTACTTTCCCTTAGGTCAGTGATATACCTCTGTCATCTAAGGGAAGCCTGACCCTTTGCTCCATCTTTGCATATGAAAATAGCTAGACCAGGACAAAAACCTACCTCCACCTAAGGCTATTGCTTCTCCGTTCCCAGAGTCAACATCTGAGACAGTTCTTAATCCAGTGGCTGGATTTTGGGATTCCAACCTCTGCTTGCATACCCTCTGTGCCAGCACAAAGAACATGACAACCTTCCCCAGGTACTGAGTGATGATTCAGACTTGAGGCACAACAGCTTGACTCATTCCCTTAGATAAAGTGACTAGGCTTGCTGGTACTTTCTCCTGAACATGGTAGTATAATTACTACCGATTCAAAAGTGTCATGAGATTTTAGAAAGGGTGCTCTGGACAAACAGGGCACATGATAGAAGACAAGTTGCCTTGGACATTCTCAACTGTGAAATGAGGATAATAGATCACCTAGGAGTTGTAAGAATAAACAGTCTGCTTTATTTCTCACAGCAGAGTGACCACACTTAAAAAATTCCTCTAGTTATATGTTGTGCTGATTTTTAGGATAGGTCTATCACCTTCTATACATCAGGCCAAGCTGCCTTCACTCAACAGGATCAACAAGTGATGGCCCACCTTGCCAGCCAGGCTTGCAAACTGGCTTCACATCCACCTGCACCAGCGTGTCCTGAGCGGCGGGCTTCTGTCCACAGTCATAGGCGGTCACCAGGATCTCATACTGGTGTTGCTTGTCATAGCTCAGCTTCTCGGTATTTCTGATGTTGCCTGAGGACACAGAGACATTCAAAATGGTTTCAGATCAAGGTAACCACACTGAAGTTCTTTAAAATCCCTTCTATACTGAACTAACCTTCACTGGAATGGAATGACCAATTTCCTTACCTTCTCCTAAAAACAACGGCAAATAGGGAGCATGGCTTTCACCGTTGACTGCTTGTGCCTCAGTGGCAGGTTGGCAGGCACCACTGAGAAGCCACCCCAGCTATGGGACGGGATTACTAGGGGATTCCAAGCACATATCTGGGACCCACCTGGTGTGTTCGTTAGTCATGGGTTGTCAGAAAAGCTCCTCTTAAAGTGTGCCCATGTGGTTGTGTCCCTGATGATGCAGGGCACCAAGGCTCATCTGCCATGAAATCTCTGGGAAAAAGATGGGACTCAGAAATGTCCTGACACATATTTTTTATCATCTGGGCTTGTGGCCAGAAATGTTCACTGCCTCTTCTCACATTATTTTGCTACCAAACAGGAAGAAAAATCAATAAGAAAACATGGGGCCTCCCTTCTGAAAGCTACACAGAATAACAGATTCCTTGCCCTGGTGGCAAAGGCATTTCTCTTCTCCAAAAGAGACCAAACCATTTTTCTGGGCCACGTGGGTGTTTTTCTTCCTGTGGGTTTGGTATTATAATTCAGAAATAAATATTTGATAATTAATTAGCAAAATTCTAATTGACAACTTTTGCTGAAATACAGTCTTGCTTCTAAGGGATGAATAAAAACCCAGTGTCCATTGAATACTTCTCAGGTTTTGATTCTAAGAGAGTGAAGTTTTCCTTTGTGGAGGATAATTTCATTCTTGCTTTTTTATTGATAGTGGAGGCAACAGCAAATGAGAACTCCAATGTTATCATTATCCTTTAGCAGAAGTGAAATTAAGAAAATGGAAATTTAAAAACAAACCAACACGCTAATAAGCAACCATGGAATGGCTGACTCAGGTATATTTTTAATATTTCATCAAAACTAAGGGAAAACTCTCTAATGAGCTCCCTTCCATTTCAACGGATGTCTATGGCCCGTGTGAGTGGAGGCAACAGGTTCTAAGTCAAGGAAGCCTGGGGAATTACCAAAGTCACATAACGTTTCAACGATTCGAAGAGCTGATGCATCATTCATCACCTAATACCAGTGAAATGGTCCTCAGTACCAGGCCCTTGAGCAGGGCTTCTCCTGTGAGAGTCTAGGGTCCAAGACACTGGACCAAGAATTAGGATCTTTTATTCCACCATTGGCTCCACACTATTTCTAAAAATGTAACTGCAGCCACCGATTTGAAGTAAAATTTAGTTTAACAAAGCCAGTCAAAAAATCTCCGAGTAAAAATGGGTTTGATGTATTTTTGGCTTCGTGCCTGGCATTCAGAATCCCTTTTGCTTCCCCCGCCCCCCACCTCTTGGCTTCAGTCTCAGCTCAGGGCCCCCCAAGGCTGGGGCGGCTTGGTGTTGGGTTGGTGACATTCCTTGCAGGCTCTGTTAACGAACTAGCTTGTGGTTATAGCCCTCGCAGGGGACAGATTCTTGCAGGTGGAAGCAGTGTAATATAACCACGAGAAGTATGTTGCTGCAACATCAAATTGAATTTTGGACTAAAAAGTTTTAACTTTCCCTTTCTTTATGGTTAAATGGCTCTCAAAAGATACACCTCAGAAGAGGAAGGCTCTGGGTTTACAAGCCGTGTGGCATTAAGCGGACCAAACACTATTGACTGTGATAGAAAAATAAACACACAGGCAGCAATCCCTGGGCCAGTCTGCGGCAGCCACACATCCTCATGAGTCCTAATGAAACTGACAAACGAATATACTTTCTCCACCACTGCTGGCCTCTTGCATGGGAGAATGGGTTTCTGAGCCTGGAATTTGAAGCCTTAGGTAAAAAATGAGTTTATAATGTTGTTGGGGAGGGTCCTACATGGATAAGACACACACTTAAAACTTTTTGGAAGCTCGAAAAGCCACACATGCTTCTGTTACAATTGTGTTCTTTCCCCCACAGTTGAATGATTTCTCCCATCAGGGACTTCTTAGGAGACCTGAGTTCATAGCTAGCCCAGGTGACTAGGGGGTCCTGGGCCCATTCCCCTGGTCCAAAGGAACTTGGGGAAGCTATTTCTCAAAGAACAATTAGTATATACCATGCATATTAGTGAAGATTTTTTTTTTTCAAACGAAGGTGGTTGGAGGTGTGAGGAGCCAAGCACACTGGCCTGTAGCCTTCTTCCAGTGGAATTTAAATTGGAATCACCCTGGGGTGCCTGGGTGGCTCAGTCAGTTAATCAATCATGATCTCAGGGTTCATGAGTTCCAGGCTTGCATCGGCCTCTGTGCGGACAGCTAAGAGCCTGGAGCCTGCTTCAGATTCTGTGTCTCCCTCTCGCTCTCTGCCCCTCCCCCATTTGCACTCTGTCTCTCTCTCAAGAATAAACAAATAAACAATAAAAAAAAATCAGAATAACCCTTGTGGAAAATTATACAGGCCAGGGGCCAACATGACAAAGAGGTAGGGGGATCGTACTTCCTGTCTCTCAAAAAAGGGCTGAAGCCAATGGACTTTGAACCCCAAGAGTCTGGGAGGAAAAAAGATGGAGTCTACCAGGAAGAAAATGGGAAAACCCGACGGCCCCACAGGTGCATGATTGAGAACTGGGGGAGATAAAATGGGACATGGAGGCACGGAGGGGACGGATCCCCTTCTGCGAGAGAAGAGAAAGAGCCACTGGGGAAGCTAGGACTGTATCTTGACAAGAGAATAGCCTTGGATCTGGACAGAGAGGGATCCCATCATCCCATCTCTAACTGCATGGCTGTCTTTGGACTGGGGCCTGCTGCCCTGTTCGCACACCAAGGGAGGATGAAGTCACCTCTGGGTTCGGTGGTACTGCAGGGGTGCAGTCCGCAGCAGGAGAATGGGGTCCCTCCCTTGAAGAGCTGCAGCACAGCTGCAGGAGCACATATTTGGTGGCATCATTAACGCGCAGGGAGTTGGAGTTTAAAACACAGCTAAGCGTGGGGCATATTTGATGGCTGACTGAGACAGTCTGCCTTGTCTGTGCCCTCTGCACAGTGAGGATGGATCCAAAGGAGTGATTTGGGACACCTGGTCCATGAAGAAGAGACTGGAGGGGTGGGCATTTTTCTCCCCGCAACTACCAAGGCAGGGCCTCAGGGATTGGTCCTCAGGGCCCACAGTGGAGGCGGGACCTGCCTGCACCAAACCACACCCCTCCACGCTGGATAGCTGCTTATCCACTGGAGCTGGATAGATGCTATGGAACCAGACAGCCCCTCCTCTGGACCAGCACTGTGGCATTGCCTGGACTAATTCTAGGTCAATTCTTTGTTATTTAGATATATTCTCCCTTTTCTCCTTCTTATTTCCTTCATCTTCTAGGCTGGTTACTCTGGTTAGTGGTTTGTTTAAACAGACATATTTAATCCATTTTCTTGATGCATCATCTACACTTCCCTCTTTCCTTTCCTTTCTTTCTTACTGGAATAATCAGGCCATATAGTTTCTCTGGGTAACTTTATCTTTGTTTCTTTCTCCTTGCCTCCTTCCTTATTCTCCTTTCTCTCTCTGGATTAAGACTTTTAGTCTCTCTGCCAGGTCAATGTTCATTTTCTCTCCCCCCCACACACCTATCATTTCTCTCTTTGTATACGCTCTTCCATCAGCACTGCCTCCACCTTTTTCTTTACTTGAAGCTGGTGTTTCTGGGTTTTTTGCTTTTAGATTGTTTTTTGTGGGTTTTTTTTGTTTCTGTTTGTTTGCTTGTTTTATTTGTGTATTTGTGTGTTTTTGTTTCCTGTTTGTCTGTTTGCTTCCCTTTCCAGGGCTACTTCAATGAACAAACCAAAGTACACCTGGTGGAGGGTCCAAAACATCACTACAAGTAGGGAAATAAAATAACCAAAGTCACAACAAGAGAGACCAAGTGACACTCTCCAAAAAACACCTCCTGAATGCCCAGGCCCTGGAGAGCATATGAGCCCCCTTTAATAGATCAGTACTTGCAGGAGCAGAGCACATAACAAGCTTTTAAAACTTAACAGGGACAGAAAACTAGGCAAAATGACAAAACAGAAGAATTCTCCTCAAAAGAAATTCCAGGAAGAAGTGACAGCTAAAGAATTGATCAAAACACATATAAGCAACATAAATGAACAAGAATTTAGTATAATAGTCATAAAATTAATTGCTGAGCTTGAAGAAAGCAGAGAAGACAGCAGAGACCCCATTGCTGCAGAGATCAAGGATCTTAAAAATAGTCATGATGAATTAAAAAATACTATAAATGAGTTGCAAAGTAAAACAGAGGTGGCCACAGTGTGGATTGAAGAGGCAGAGGAAAGAATAGGTGAATTAGAAGATAAAATTTTGGAAATTGAGGAAGCCAAGAAAAGGAGAGATAAAATGATCCAGGAGCATGAAAGGAGAATTAGAGAATTAAGTGATGCAATCAAATAGAACAATATCTGATTCATAGGAGTTCCAAAAGAAGAACTGAGAGACAAAGGGGCTGAAGGGGTACTTGAACAAATCATAGCTGAGAACTTCCCCAACCTGGGAAAGGAAACAGACACTGAAATCCAAGAGGCACAGAGAACTCCCTTCAGACATAATTTGAATTGATCTTCTGCATGACATTAACTGGAAAATACAAGAATAAAGAGAGAATTCTGAAAGCAGCTAGGGATAAATGAGCCTTAACATACAAAGGTAAATACATAAAGGTAGTAGCAGACCTATCTACTGAAACTTGGCAGGCCAGAAAGGGATGGCAGGAAATCCTCAATGTGATGAAAAGAAAAAATATGCAGCCAAGAATCCTTTATCCAGCAAGCCTATCATTCAGAATAGAAGGACAGATAAAAGTTTTCCCAAGTAAACAAAAACTGAAGGAATTCATCACCACTAAACCATCCTCACAAGAGATCTTGAGGGAGATTCTGTGAGGGAAATGTTGCAAGAACACAAGTTACC